ATGCCAGGATTGTGCAAACGACTCTTGAAAAAAAACGGTGTCGCCCCCGCTTCGGCGTTCGTGGCTAGGCACTGGGATGAAGAACTCGAGCCGGTGACCAAAAATACCGTGGCGGTGGCTATCGTAGAATGCGGCGTAACCGTTGACATGATCAACGATGCGTTTGAATTTGGGCAACAATGGGTGTATGATTGTCTCGAAAAGCCGGAACCACCTCCCGGATGGACGCGCGAGGAGCTCGAAGCATTGCAGCACCAACCCACCTGGGGAAAGCCACCCAGTGGTCTATTTCCCGCAGCTAATGATCTATTCCTATGTCGCCCCGACGTACCATGGGTGCATCACGCTGATCAGTTTGTGCTCACGTGTTTATTGGACTGACAGCATCCGGAGCTCGTGGGACTCAAACGTGCTCCCGGCTCCAAGATTCAATTTGTTATCAATAAAGGATTGACCCGATCGTTGTTACGGAACGAGCACTTATTGGAACAAGTGAACCCATTCCGCAAAGAAGAGTGTCATCGCGAGAATGAAGCGGCGATCACACGCAAACAGCAGTCGAACGCGGTCGCGGGTACGAGTCACCAAGTGGCTCTACCTGCTGCACTTGTCAATAAGCGAGCGTTGGGTATGCCGCGCGGTGTGATAAGGACCGCGGTGCTACGGTGTGAAATGATGATGGTATTCGCGGTGTAGCTGTGTTCGTCCTCTAGGGGTTATACCGGATGGTTTCTAGTTTAGAGAGGGTGGCGGTGGAGAAACAGGTATGTTGGTCCGGATGGTGTACTCGGTTGGAACTGTGTGGTTAACAAAACAGACGGTTTAGAATATAGAAATACTTGTTCAGATAGGTCAGTGGTGAACGGTCTGAAACTCCTAAAGTCTCCTCTTTGATTTGGTTTAACGCCTTTCCCCTAGGTGCTGGGTGAGAGACTGAATGCGTGAATCCTCCAAGTCGGGGATTCCGTGGTGGCTTTAACGTCGACAAGAGTTGGTCGTACAGCGATGGTGTTGCTAGGTACGTCCTTGTGGTCGTAGACGATTTGCTATGTAGACCTTTACAAGGTTCCCACTACTGCACGACGATGTGTCTGCGTAGGAAGGTGTGCACAGGTAAGGCTTTCGAGGATGATGAATCGCGAGCTCTTTGAAGAGGAGCTGCAAGTGTGGGAGGAGAGTAGAGTGCCCTAGAGCAAGCGTGAACTGGTGTGTGTGTGTGTGTGTGATCTACTCTTGTATTGGGGGACAAGGTACACTGGGTGAAGAGTGGGGGAAAACTCTTGCCCAAGAATTGACTGACTACTGGCTAAAATGGGTGGTCCTTTTATACCTTTTCCAACTCTACACAGCCTTCGGCCCCCGTCGCACCATAGACCTTCTCTAGAGAACGATCCCAGCGGATAGAGAGCGCCAATCCCCGAGGATTCGGCTTATAGAATCGCTGCATCAGCAAATCCGGCGGGATTTGGTGTCAAAACCTCGTCGTAACAGTCGATTCCGGCAGGATTCGCTGACAGACCAGCAGGATTTGGGATGTGGACTCATTGGGTCGTGTTTCAGGCCTCGAACACGTCCCAACATGGATGAATCTTCCCGCGTACTGTCGGTTTCCGTCCTCTATCCGGCGGGAGCTCGGTGGTAGTTACTTCGTGGGCGGAATGCGAGGACACAGGTCTCTCAGAGGGCATATCCCGGAGGATTCCCATGGGTAGAGCCTGTATCTCGTAAAGTCCGAACTGTAGGTGGTATTCAAGATGTCTGGGGGGCTCGTGGTGCGCGAGCTACGGCGTAATCCCGTGGGATCTTGGTCGTATCGCGTCGTGGTGACGGATGTGTGCGGAATCCCGTGGGATTGAGTTGGTGAGGATGCTTGTAGCGTTGGAGCTATGTGATATCCTGAGGGAAGAGGTCGTTGGGGGTGCGGTTGGTGTTGTACGAGGTGGATTCCCGCGGGAAGGGGCGCAGCGAGTGAGATTCCCGGAGGAATATCCAAATGCGGATTCTTGTAGTCCAAATCGGGTGATTGTGTCATGTCAAGTCCGTCACAGCCGTGTTGGTGCACGAAGGCATACGCAGAGCGTATGGGACCCTCACAGCGGGCCTCGGGCCCATCTGCGATCCGACATGAAGCCACACTCGTCCCCTGCCGCGCTGTCTGTTGACATGTCGATGCACGTCGCCCCGTCTGATCCAATGATGGGTATGCAGGTAACGTACCACGAATCCGACCCAGAGTCGTTCGCGGCTAACATGCAGAATTTTGATGGATTCACAGACGCGTTAGAACGTGCCGGAATTGCGACCGCTCCCCTGTTTCAGTATGGAGAGGCTGAGTATGATGCTAATGTGATCACGGATGGATGGACCGCAATTCATATTGCCACCGCACCGAATAATTTGTAAATGCCACATCAATTATCTTGTACATGGTTATGAATGTAATGGCCAATTGAGGGCCCATTTTGTTAAATCTTGTCAGAGTGTAATTCACTCTTGAGCGGGAGAATGTTAGGGATTTAACCCCTGACTGAATATACTTGTCGCATTTGTAATCATATTTACTCAAGTAATTTAGTGTTTGGTCCAGCCCACGCTGGATCCCTATTTAAGCCGTAGATACACTAGTAAACAGGATCTTCTTCTTGACCTTTTACATTACACTACGTGCCAATACAACCCGCTAGGGAACGTGCTGGTTATCGTTGTGTGAGCTTAAGGTCTTTGGAAGCACGCTTAACACACCCATAACTTTAACAATATTTGTGGGCAAAGTTGCGAGAGATACAGCCCGGCGAACCTCGGAAGAGGTGCAGGAGATGATGGATGCAGTATGTATTAACAGCATTAGAGACCGTGTTGGCTTACTCCATCAGGGGACGCCGTGGCGGAGGAATATGATTATAATTACAAATAAAATTCATAAAGTGTCAAGTCGTGGTCTTGCGATAAAGAACTGCAGCCAAAGCCAGAGCTATCCAGAATACTAGATGCCGGGCGATTCCGAAGGCGATGTGCGATGGAGCGGAGAAGGCGTGATGATGACGAAAGAGCGGGTTTATTGTTAAACCGCTCTGAGACATCCCGCAGCAGCCCGCAACAGCCCGCAAGCAAGTGCAGGGAAGACCAAAACCCATCGTTTCGGCTCAGGAATGGAGGTGGAGATGCGGAGAGGTCGGTGTGTCGAGTGGTTGGTCATGTAGAGGCCCCGGGAAAGCGAGCGGATCAGATCCCGCTTCATTTCCTCCGGATAGGCTCGACAGTCACCCAGGGTCGAAGTGGCACAGAGCAGCTTGCACAATGGCCAGAGGACATGTGCTGAACAGCAGCAATAGAATGGGGACCACCCCTGGTTCCCAGGGACCCCATAATCAGGGCATCAATATTTCGATGGTGGTGGAGAATCGCTGGGATGGAGTATTGATAATACCTATGAGAAGAGGAGTCCCGATTTCTTGGATTCTAAGTCTCGGACTCGGACAGAACTTACTGGCGCTGCTTTCTAAACCTCCGTTACACAGAATAGCCAGACTAGGACAATATCCGATATGTTTCCGCTCACGCCCATGCCTACCTTGTGCGCGCCTGCTCGTCCGTGCCGGGCTCGTCTGCCTCGCCTGTGTCCATGCACCCATCCCCCTTTCCCGCTTCGCCTGCCTTGCCCGCGGCCACTCAAGCTTGTGCCCACCGGGTCCGCGCCCGCCTCGTCCGTGCACCGTCACCCGCACCCCATGCCCACCGCTCCCATCTCGCGCGGACCTCGTGAGTGGGAGTTCCCACAACATACCAGGCACCTACCTCCATGACAACACCGCTGTCCCGTTGGCGCAAGGAACTCCTTGCCGCGGAATCTATGCAGTGATCCTGCCGCGGAATTTATGCAGTGATCCTGTCGCATGGACTTCACGCCAGGAAAACCCCGGAACCCCGCGCTGCCATGGGCGCCGCACCTCTGTCCCTACAGTGCAATCACTGCAGGGACCTCCCCACAGCAGTGTTACTGTGGGGATTTCCCTCCGGCATCCTCGCTGCAGCCCAGACCCTGTCTCTGCAGCCTTTTCGCTGCAGGATTTCCTTCCTCCAATGTCTCCACACCGATTGCTTCGCGATGATGGCTCTCCGCCATGGGCGCCACACCTTTGTTCCCTGCAGGTACCTCCCTCTGTTGATCTCCCTGCAGCAGTGTTGCTGTGATCTCACTCTGGCGACCTCCGAGTTGGAAGACCACCTTGCTGCCAAACACTTCTCCATCGAGGGTCAGCTTGAGTTCAAGGCCACTCTTTTCTTTTCATCCCAAGCGGTGAGTTTCATTTTCTCTTTCGTTGTTGCGCAGTACGCAGTACTCATGTGCGCCCTCAGCGTCCCCTTAGACCTCTTCGAGTCGAAGAAGAAGCACAACAACACCAAGCTCTACATCCACCGCGTCTTCATCATGGATGACTGCGAGGACCTCATCCCAGAGTACCTCAATTTCATCAAGGTCTCCTGCGAGACCCTCCAGCAGACCAAGATCCTCAAGGTCATCCGCAAGAACATCGTCAAGAAGTGCATGGACCTCCTCAGTGAGATCACCGAGGACAAGGACAACTTCACCAAGTTCTACAAGGTGTTCGGCAAAACCTGAAACTTGTGTTCACAGGGATGCCCAGAACCTAGTTCCTGCGCTTCTTCTCTACGAAATCGACTGAGGAGCAGATCTCGCTCAAAGGTATGCCGACACTTTCTCTCTCTTTCGTGAATTGTCGGCTTATGTCACGTTTACTCAGACTACTTTACATCACCCGCAATTACTTCACCGGCGAATCCCTTGCCTCCGTACCCGACTTACCGTTCCTCGAGTGTTCGGTGACAAAGTCGTCGTCTCGAACCGCATCACCAATTCGCCCTGTGTCCTCGTCACCGGCCAGTTTCGATGGTCATCAACTGCCATCCGTCCCGTGGAACCACAGGCTGGTTGAATATCCTTCCTTGTCATCAACAGGCTGGATTCTACCTCTTTTAATGGCGTCATAGCTCAGTTGGGAGAGCAGCAGACTGAAGTTGTCACGTGATCTTACAAATTACGTAATCACAATCTGAAGGTCCCGTGTTCAAGCCACGGTGATGCCATTCTTTTTGTCATTTAATGAGGTTATTCACGTTGGCCGCAGGTTAAAACATAAATAAGCACGCCAGATCTTACGACATATCCTTTTCCTTGGGTTCATTGAGGTATTTGTACCTAAGTAGTTTACCTACGTAGATGAATATCACATTGTTAAATTGTTAAAGAGACGCCACACTCTATCACAAGCATGTTGTCTTCCTACTCTGCCATGACGTTGGAATTGACGCAGTTCTCTGTCGCAATCGAGTCTGCAATCACTGCGTTTTGACTTTGGGGGGCACATCATAACTATCCATAATTCCAGCAAGGACCCAGCAGTTTCCCGCAACGTAGATGAGGCCTCTGACCCACAACCCGAAGAACACGTTCTGGCCTAAAAATTCCAGCTTGTACGCCTCATTCAGCCACAGACCCTGCGTCCCGATCCACACGACTAAGTATGCGATGGCGTTGTACCGAGAAATGGACAGCCGGGGGAGGAGTAGCGGAAGTAGGAGGAGGTACCACAGAAAATACTGCCCGGGGTTTCAGGATCCCGAATAATAAAAAGGAATGAAAGGCGCACCTGGGACGTGCATACTTTGTTAAACACGACGAAGACGACGGTCTGCACGAACCACGTGAACACGAGGTCGTCTTTCCTGCGGCCGAAAGCGAGGCCGGTGCCGAGGGCGAGAAGCATCTGCGGCGCGAAGCTCGTCAGCGGCGAGCGGAGGAGGCGGTTCCACAGTGGGAGATCCAACGCCGCCGACGGCTCGAGCGACGGGTAGGTCAGGTAGATGAGGTAAAAGTACGGCGAGAAGTTGTGCCGATGGTCCAGACGGTGGAGGTGGTATAGGTACGATTCATAGAGGAACGGGTAGCCCCATCTGTGATGTTTATTCGCCTTAGTCGTTAGGAGGATACGGAGGAGGGACGCACAAGAGGTAGCATCCCGCGCCCAAGCACAAGAAGGTGGACGCGCTCAGTGCCGCAAAACGGATTGTCCGCTGATTGACCAGGGCGCGCAAGTACCCGTTCCACCCCTTGGCCTTCTCGGACCCGCCAATGACACCCAGACAGGCCACGCCATAGATGACGGGGTATATCTTCCAATGCGTGCTCAGTCCGAGTGCGATCGCAGCTGCGTCCCACCGCCCCTTGAGCGCCGCATAGAGCGTCAGGAGCACAAACAGCGAGAGAACAGACTCGGACGACCCGCGCGTGGAGATGGCAAATACGAGCGGGTTAAGCAGGTGCAGCGCGCTGTACAGTGTAGCGAGATCCCTGCGGGCTAGCGGGACGGGGGCTGGGTTCTCCGACGTAGCCGCCGACGCCTTTGGCAGAACGAAAGAATCGAGAAGATCGTAGATTAACATGCCGTTGAATATGTCGCAAGCGGCGAAGAGATATTTGCCAAACGCAGGATGGAGCCATTCGTTTGGGGCGAGCAGTAACGCAAGCAGCGGCGTGTAACGATACGTCTCCCGCGTATACGGACTACATGGAAAGATTGGCGCCTGCAGGGTTACGAAGAGACAAACTGGCGCACTCTCCAACAGCTAGGTCCAACCCAAATAGCTTTTTGAGTGGCCCTTGTGCGTGGTTTTCGGAGCCCGGGCCTGGGTTGAGGAGGAAACGAGCTGCATCGCTGAAGACCCGATAGTCGATATCTGTATATTTCACGACGGAGTGGGCATCGTGCCATTCGCTGTAAACGATAAGAGCAACCCGAAGCGCTATGGACAGGGCCAGAACATGGCGGAACGAAGGAAGAGCTGGCATGACATAAGGTTGCGTACGATCTTCATTGAGCGCTCAGCAGGTGACTGAAAAGCATGCATATCAAGTAGGTCCTGGAGCTCCATGAGCCCAAGACAAAAAGTATTCGTGCTACTGATGTAAGATAAAGTCGAAGAGCAACATTCCCGTGTCCATCCATCCAAGCAAAACATCTCCAGAGTCCGCATACGGCGTGCCTTCTTGCTTGGCTTAAATCTATTCACAAGTAAGATAAGGAAGACAACAGAAACAGATGAACTGACGTATTGCGACACCCACCGGAAACCTAGGACAACATGAACACTAGGGCCGAGTAATGGGAATAAATACTCACCTTCTCCGTACCCCTGCCTCTGGACGACCGAGCACATGAAGATCTCGATGGGCCGGATGTCGGTGAGAGGGATTTTGCCCTATAGCAGTATCGTTAGTCAATGAAGAGGACAGTCGAGCGTAACCCACCTTTCCGGTGGTCTGGTACAGTCCGAGATGGTGCCTCAGCTCCTCCTCGCTGACTGCTCCCGGGGCGTCAATCTTGTTGCCGAGGATCAGGAAGGGGACTTTCGACAGCTGCTCGATTGCCAGGAGAGCGTCAAGCTCTGCCTTGGACTCGGAGAACCGCTCAAAGTCGGCGCTGTCCACAAGGAAGATAATGGCATCCACTTCGGGGAAATAGTCACGCCAGAGACGGCGCGCTAGACAGGAACCATTCATATGGTGAATGGTGTCGGTCGCAGGAACACGAACCTTGTTGATGTCCACCAAGGTCGTGAGTCGTGAATTTGACGTTGCCAATAGCAAGCTCCTCCGATGCTGTATTTAATTGAGATGAGCAGCCTTCCGATAGATAGGGGAGTTCAACGTACTCGGGTGGAGAGTCGGCTGCAGCGTAGCGAGCCTGTCGTTTTTGAGCATGTGCAAAAGGGTCTGCACGGACAGGTCAGTAGCCGCACTACCACCGAGACTGAGACGCACCGTTTTCCCAGCGTTATCTAGACCGAGGAAGAGAATTTTGGCATTCTTGTGCATAAGCCCTGAACGAACTTCAGTTGCTGCAGGACGAAGGACACGATTCATTAGCTACCAAGCTGAGCAAGAACATCCCAGAACCAGTTGATGATGAACATCGCAAAAGACAAGCTGTTGGGTGTGCTGGAAGAGAAACGGGCTGGAACGGCGGTGAAGAAATATACTGAGAAGAGAGATGCACGAGCTTAAGGAACTCAAAGCGGTGCTTACGTGGCTTCTCAAGTGTCCCACGATACTTATATTCCAATATTGATTTGACACGCAGCCTCAACGCGGCCTCCACGCATCTTCCACGTCGTTTGGTTTGGTTGATACAATTTATATGTGCGTAATCTACATGCGTGTCGTATAAAATCCAGAAAAGCAATGCGAAAAATCAATGGAACCGCGAGCCATTGGGAGCACTACGATAAATAGCAGGAGTGTCAAATATGAATGCGTCTAATTCCGAGTCCGTGTCAGAGTATTCATCGGACTCGTCCATCGGGCTCATCGCCCCAACTCGGAAAACATCCCGGAAAGGCGTCTGAGGGACGTCGGTGATCGCCTCCGAGGATATTGACTTGGCAAGAATGGCGGCCACCCGCGCCTCTAGGCGCCGGTTGGGAATGGTGAATGCTGTTGGCATCTCTGCGGACCGTTCGTCTTCTTGGAAGAATGTCGTCAGGTCATGCAGGTTCTGCACCAGACCTCCAAGATCCTCCTGCTGTGGGCTAGAGGCAGCAAGGGCCTCGACCTCTGGCTCGAAGTCAATGCGCGACGGCCGCGAGGGCATGGAACACGTATCGAACACCGCCATCATGTTCGACCGGCAGGTAGCACGGAGCGTGTCTGCCTGGACGACGCACCATCCAGACGGCTCCGGAACGCCGAAAACGGTGGCGACAGAGTTGACGTCCTTCGTCAGAGAGCGCGAGTGCATGCTCATGCGCAAGACATGTTTCGCTGCGAGACCCCCGGACATGGTCATTGGCTCCTCGAGAACTTCCAAGGCTTGTGAAGCTAAGTCCGTTTCTAGAAGCCGCAGAAGAGGCATGAGCAATTCAGACCCCAACAGCTCCACCGGATTCCTAGTCTCCCGCTGCTGGAACAGGACCTTGAGGATCTGCATGACCTGGACGCGCAACCAACGTTGACGGTTGAGCACGAGACCGATGAGCAGAGTGACAATCTCTGTCCAGTAATCCACGCCGTAGTGCTCACGGAGGCTCGCCACCGACTGCCGTAGAAAGTCATCCCGCGTGCGGAAATGCCCTTTGATGAAGGAGTTCATGATCTTCTGGATGCTCTGGCGTCCCTCTTGCTCAGCGAGAATGCTGATGTCTTCGGCGAACACCTTCAACGCAGGATCGATCGGTGTATCAGGTGCCATGGCGTGCAAGCACCACGGTAGCGCTACTGTATATAGATCACGGACACGCCCTCTGGTAGGATCGATGAGCCGGTCATCCTGGACTTTGGTCAAAGCTCGAAGGATCTTCATAGTTGCATCGGAGGTGGTGGACGATCGGAGGCCAGTCAGTAAGACGGGCTGCAGGAATTCAGGGCCATTCCACCCAAGAGGTTGGCGTGAAAGAAGGAGTTCAGCGGTACTCGGATCATCGAAATCCACACGCGGGAGAAGGGCCTCCAGAATCTTAAGTGTTTGAGAAAACTCGTGCTCGACTGTTGTCGAAAGAGAAGCACAAGCAGACCAAAACATCTGAGGGAGCATCGACTTGTCAAGATCGGGCAAGGATACCATGGCATGCATAGTCCGCATGATTTCCGCAGTAAACGACTTGATGTTGTCGTCAGGGCCCGAAATCGTGTTGGAAAGACGCCCGAGAAGGAGAGCGAGGTCCCCAGGCGAGACGCGTACCATGATCGCTCGGAAGATCTGCAATGACCTGAAAGCAGTGGCCCGAATCGAGCACGACGTTCCCCACGACAGCGCTAATGATCCCCACAATTCCGCCAACATGGGGCATAGCGGAAGCATGAAACGTACGACTTCGGAGCAAAGCCAGTTCATTTTAGGCTCTGCATCGACGCTAGTCTCGTCCTCCTTCCAATACATGCCCTCCGCCTGCTTCTCAAGACTGCAAATGGACGCCTTGAGAGCTGAACGGTTTGGATACGACGATCGATCTGGAAGTTCGTCGTATCCGGGTGCCCAAGACCGTAGAATCTGGAACAGCATACGCTGGGCTCGCGCACGGACAAATGGAAT